TTAAGTTGTACTTGCATGCTATCATCTGTACGCCCACCATTCATAATTCTTCGCTTGCAAAGTTATCAGCAAAATTATCTTGTAACTACTCACTTGACTATTTTTTCAGCTGTAATCCTTACGGAAAACTTCTCAAAACAAACGGATTTGTATTGGATTCAAGGGGACAGGGTAGTTTCCTAATATAGCGATGACTTGTCATCAGCTAGCATTGAGGATTGTACGATGGATTGGCACTTAGGGCCTACCCTGGGGNCTTTTGTGTTGCCACATTCTTGTAGCTTGAAACGTGGCTGATTGACAGCGAGTTTTGACTTGGTAAAGCGTTGTTATCAGTATTACACCTGAAGGCCGCTTGTAGTCCCATCCTGAACGACTTCATAAAAACAAAATAAACAAAAGGATTTGTAACTGARTTGATGGAATAAAGTAACGTTTGAACAGAGTCGTTCCATAATTCAAAAGTAAGAACTACGGAAGTGATGTATGAAAGATAAGGAAACCCACAGAATACATAGAAAAGAATTGTGACTGTTATGATGATAGCGATGACTTTTCGCCTCGCTGCCTTTCTTGCTCTTTGARCSGCTGCCTGTACACCGAGCTGTTCATCTCTTTTGATGACCTTGATGACTTTGTAGTAGAGCACCGACATTACTACAGTAGGGAGAAGGAAACATATTGCGGAGGACAGGATGGTATACATTGTAGGGTTGAACCACTGTGAAATGAATGACTGACACCCTTCGTCGCCAACATTTCTTGATACCATGAAAATCACCAATGGAACACTTCCCCATATCCAGCTCAAGAAAATCACTAGCTTCAGCTTTTTRTTTGAAATCTCGCCTCCTCTTCTGCTCATTGGTTTAACAATGGCYTTATAGCGCTCATAGGCTATAACGAGCAAGAAGGCGGGRGTCATTCGAGTTCCAATCCAAAAAGACTGTTTTATCTTACACATAGCTTCTGCCCCGGCATGACTTTTGTTGTAAACATCCATGATAACATCTACTTTGTCCTCGAGGTACAACAGTGCATCAAGCAAAGCTTTGTATACTGCCAGTATACTCGTTATTACATCCAAGATGGCGAGGTTGAGAAGGACGTAGTTAAACGCGGTTTTCTTTACAAATTTCGATTGGAGTATGATNTTGCGGCTTATTGCCGAAAATGCGACAAAGGATGAACTAATCAAAACAATAAAAAATATATATGATTTCAAATTAAAAAATTAACACAAAAAATTAATAAATTTTCTCAAAAGCCGAAAAAAACGCTATGACACTCCTAGGCCACCATACAGGATTCACATATGAATTTATAAAAAGTGTTGTGTTCATGATCCGAAATATTTTTAACCAAATCTCTCTATTTTGTTCAAAGAAAATACAGTGGGTGTTAAATTGGAAACTATCATTTGGAAGCTTTCATGTGTCCGTTGAATATCTAAATATTTTTTTTATCTAACAAGTACTGGTTTGTCCGTCAATCCCTTAATATCTGGGACATTGCCACGGATAACCTAACAAAACTGTCAAAGGTTCAATAAGATTTCTCATGACTTCATACTTGGTATCGTCATGAGAATATTAATTTTGCATTAAAAGCCTTTTCATGTGTAAATTTAAACAGCTTTCACTTTCAAGAACAAACCACGGGCTTTTGGAGACTCCTTGTTTTGAGTCGTGAGAAATTCTTGTTCCTGTACAAAATAACACGCTATTTACTTACTTGAGTCTTTTATTGCTAGTCTTAAAAGCTTGTGCTGAATAAACATGAATTTATGGTCTGTTGAGTCCATTTCTTTTCATATTTATAGGTAGTAACCAGCTACGACTAACCGCCATCTTGAATTATACACTAATATTCACCAGTCCTACGCTATTCTCTAACTTAACCGCCAAACATAAAATCCCCCAGGGTAGGCACTTATTGGGTATTGCCCACCTCTGCCAATAGGATCGATTGATTTTGTACCACGTGATCATTTTGAATCGTCCAAAGCCTGATGCAAGCTGTGTCGTCATCTAAAATTTCGTCCCTCTCGCATCGGAGTCACAAGTAAAATGCTTACTAATACGTTCTTCATCTCTGTAAAAGAATATCCAATAAACGAAGTTCGAAATTAATCTGTACGTAAAGAACGAAATTCAAATTTTTGAAAATGGATAAATCTTTCGGTTTAAGTTGTACTTGCATGCTATCATCTGTACGCCCACCATTCATAATTCTTCGCTTGCAAAGTTATCAGCAAAATTATCTTGTAACTATTCACTTGACTGTAATACATCTGTAATACTCACGGAAAACTTCTCAAAACAAACGGATTTGTATTGGATTCAAGGGGACAGGGTAGTTTCCTAATATAGCGATGACTTGTCATCAGCTAGCATTGAGGATTGTACGATGGATTGGCACTTAGGGCCTACCCTGGGGATTTTTGTGTTTGGCGGTTGAGTTTTAGCTAGGGAACCACGCAATTTGATCGGACGGAGGACTGGTGAATACCAGTGTATTCAAAATGGCGCGACGTTAGTCGTAGACAGACCATAAATTCATATTTATTCATCATATGCTTATTTGACTAGCAATAAAAGACTCAAGTAAGTAAATAGCGAGTTATTTTGTCCATGAACAAGAATTTCTCACGACTCAAAACAAGGAGTCTCCTTGTTATTATGCTAATAGAAGAGAGATTGTTTGTCCCTTTCGATTCTGGTATAATGCTCTGCCGCCTTGTAGACAACCTATTTCGGCTGCCGACAATGAGACCGTCTATAATAGAGTCAATTTCGTATGAGTGGGAAACGGACGGTGATGTACTGTAGCCGTATGGTACTGTAACCAAATTCTATTGTCTCATTGCTTCACAAAGATCGTGTATGCCAGGTCCAGTAACTGTGCGGTAACCGTGTGATAATTTCTACCGTACGTTTCCCACTCATACGAAACTGACTCTAGTATGTATAGCTCTTTCAAAGCTGGTCCACGGTTTGAGACTCTTTTAAGCTATAGGAGTTTCTAGGCAATTTCAAAGCTATTTTTATACATGTCATCTGTAAATACAACAAGCATCGAAACCTGCTTTTTGATTGAGGATTTAAGGAAAGTACAACACCTATCTTCTTAGGTTAGGTGTTGATTAAATGTTGGCAAGTCTTCATCTATTGTTTGTCCATTGCACCTATAATGAGATTTGTTTTTTTCGGTACTTACTGTCCCCGCACTAATTGTTTCACTTTAAATGTGTCACTGCAGTTCTACTCACGTGCTACCAATTTGCAGAGACGAAGGAAGTTCAATAACATTCAAAAGTTCAATGTTATTTTCTCTTTGCGATGATATCACATTCTCGGAACTGGTGAACTGAATAGACATTGAATTTTGATTTGATATTGTAAAATTCGAAGCGACATTCTTAGCTGTGTTACATTTGAATAACGATTTGAGACCCATTCTGAAAGGTT